TACTGGACTCTAGGAGGAGACTCTAGGAAGAGCAGGTCAGAGATGACAGTTCTGTTCAGTATAAAATGCAGTTAGAAGTCATTCACAAAATACCTGAACTCCTGTTGGTAGATCAATGTTCATCGTTTTCAAAGCATCGCATAAATCTTTCCTCAAACCAAGATTTTCAAAATCTGGTGTATGGTGATTGTGTGTGGTGATACCATGTAAAGCAGGGTGCTAGAAAGATATCTTTACTACTTAAATAATGGCCATGATAATATGTCCCCTTGCAATGGGTCTTTCCACAAAAGATCCACAGTCCCCCCAACAGAGAAAATTTCTGTCGTCCAGAGAGGGAGGGGAGAAAAATTTGTTTCTGATAATAGAACATATATTTGGTCATCCAAAGGGGGTAGAGGATTAACTTCCTCTGGGGGAGGTTATATGCATGTTTTCTTTCAGAATGACCCAATGGATTCACACCAGTCACTGAACAACATACAAAGGCATACAAGACAGGAGGCAGGGGGGGGGACTGCCCCCCTCCCCCAAAAATTTTTTTTGAAAACCATGGAAATTTGGGCAAATGCTAGGAAAAATCAAGAAAATTCAGGCAGATTTATGAGAGAATAGGTTAAATTCATGTAATTTCATTACAATCCTCCACAAAAATTTGGGCAAACGTTCAACTGCCCCCCTGGAAAGTATCAACCCCGTACTCCTATGATAACATCAACCATCTTCACATCTCAGTCCAGAAAAGTTTCCTATGCCTTAAGTACTCACTTCTTTAGAAAAAGCTTTCAAAAATGTTTCAGTTGGTCCTTTGCTAATGCTCTCTTTCATTCGAACATCTTGATAAGGTCTTCTCTTTCGAATGAACGACTGAGAACTTGCGGTGGCCAAACATCTAGCCTACGTATCAACATGAAGGCATGTTAGTCACACAATGGTTAATGCATGCAGCTATCACTTTTGTGGATTCTATTCCTGTGGTATCACCGGAATGCAGTTATCAGTGAAATATTTTTGTCTCAGTATGTTGCATGGGCAAATAAATCTAGTTTGACTCTACCAAACAGTTTCCCCCTGTTATTCTAGTTTCTAAAGCAATAAGGACAATAAGGGGTGGCTCTAACTGGACCTCTAGATAGGAACAGATAGAGCTATAAAGGGCTATCTAGTAAAAATATACTTGGTTTTGTTTTAATCCTTTAACAAATACTATAACACGGTACATATCTACCTTTAAACTTGAATCAGAAATTCTGTAAACTACTTTAGCAGAACGGATTAATTTTTTCATTCCTTCCCTTTTATTTTAAATCAATCATTCACTTCTTCCATTTAGTTTCCAGACTGCTTCGTGGGTTTTCGCGCACAGACACGCGATTCTGCTCAGACTCCGCGAGTAAATCGTCGTAACATAAAAATCTATAAAATAACGAATCCACAACACTATCTACACTTAAAATGATCCCCAAAAGGAATGTTTATATAGATTTTTGAGACATTTTCAAAGCAAAATAAAATAGTATTTTAAAAATACTTGACCGTATAAACATATCGAGGTCAGTGTCAATTCCTTCTAAAATACCATCGGTCAAAAGTAGATTTGTCGAAGATGTTTCAATTTGAAAAATCAAATTTTCTAATTTGAAAATGGCGGCCTTCGAGGTGTCAACATTTATTTTGGCAGTTTTAATAAGTGTAGCTTTGATATTTTTTGCCGTTTGGAACGTAAGTATTCTTATATATTTGTGTGTTTTGGTAGTGCTCTAAAATCTCAGGGTTTTTCTATGTTTTTGTACAATTATGTGTAATTTTTGGTACAGCTTTATTATCTGAGTGACTCTGTGACTGAGTTATCCAACTTTAAATCTGAGGTATTTTTGTTGCAGATTATTGCATTTGATGATTTGAAAACGGACTATAAAAATCCTGTCGATCTTTGTAACAGCTTAAACCCTGTAAGTATTAATTCTATTTTGCAGATTTTTGAACTTTGAATTGCAATTTCAGGGCTAAACGAAATAATATTAATTGCAGATATCAATTCATCTATATGGAATTGGCCAGTGGCAAATAGCTTAACCCATTGAGCACCAGCGCTCTCCCCTTGATGAGTAAAATCATCTGACATTAGACAAAATAAGTTTCTTTCGTTGATTGCGATTAAAAAATAGACTTTGGTGTGGCCATCAACATGAGAGTCAAGATGGACGGGGGGCCTGTGTTCACCAATTTGTCCCGGGGCCTGTGGTTGGCTCTCGCCGGCCTTGAGTGGCATGCATAGGGGCTCAATGCAACTTAATTGGTTACACATTATATAACTGGGCCTGACTGGAAAGTTTGGAAATTGCACGCCAGAGATTTTGAAAATTTAATAGTAAATATATAGAAAGCATCATATAATTATAATTGTGCGGCTGACATCTCCACCGTGTGATACAAACTTTCCACACTGGTATCTGGGCAGGTTATTAATAAATAGCTTGTTTTCTTTTTAGTTGGTTCTTCCTGAATATGGTGTACACATCTTTATGTGTCTGTTCTTTCTTGTTGGATTATATTGGACAGCTCTGATTTGGAACATCCCGCTTATTGCTTATCATGTTCATAGGTATGTCAATAAAATAATGAATGTTTGTATATAAGTTTGAAGCAAAATTTGACATTTTAAAAATCTGTCAAAACCACAGTGGGTGCCTGTGCTCCATTGCTGAATTTTGTAAAACATGTTTTAATGTGTTGAAAGTCATCATTTTGATGAAACAAAAGGTTTTGGATCATCTCCCAAATGTTTGAAGCTGTTCAAGGCAAAATATGACTTTTAAAAATGGTCGAAAACCAAAGGGGGGACCACAGGGCATTTAGTTGTGGTTCTCTGTGGTCCCCCCTTGGCATTTGAGTAAAATTTGTTGTAAGACATGTTTTTATGAGTTGAAAGTCATTGTTTTGATGAAAGAAAAGGTTTTTGACCATCTCCCGAAAGCAGTTTAAGCAGTTTAAGGCAAAAGGTTTTTGACCATCTCCCAAAGCAGTTGGAGCAGTTTAAGGCAAAATTTGAATTTTGCTTGTGGTCTGCCCTTTGTTTGACAGAAATTTTCAAATTTTGTAAAACACATTTTTATGACTCGAAAATATTTTTTGTTGAAAGGAAAGATTTTTGACCATCTCCCAAATATTTGGAGGATGTTGAAGTGAATTTGTCATTGAATTCCACACTATTATAGTACTTATAATTAAAAGATTATCATTTTTTCCCTCAGTCTGGTAACTGGATGTTGGTTGATCACTATCTGGTTTTTGGTAAATCTTTAAATATTCTGTTGCAGGTATACAAATCGTCCAGTAATGAGCCGACCAGGGTTATATGATCCAACAGAAGTAATGAATGGCAATGAAATGTCACGTTGTCAGAAGGAGGGATGGGTGAAACTAGCTTACTATCTTATCAGCTTTTTCTTTTACTTATATAGGTAAGTTAATTATTTTAACTACTTTCTGTTAGCACAGAACAATTTCATGTGACTAAACGAATTCACATTTTAAAATAACTCGAATGGCTAATAAACGCTTCTGGAAAGTAATGTCACTTTGCTGTAAAAGTTACATAATTTTTGTAACTAGTTACAGAAATCATCAGAAAAGTAACTAGTTATTGATACAAGTTACAATGGATTAAAAGTAACTAGTTACAGTTACAAAGTTACTACACTAGAATCAAGTGCGCACACAACTCGCTTACGTTCTCATTTATTTAGCTTTGCCAACTAGGGCAGGGTCACCACAACAGCATATGCCAATTACTGTGGGCCCTTTTACCTAACCCACCCTGTCAACTTTCCCTGTGGGAGGAAACCAGAGTACCCAGAGAAAACCCACGACTTTCAGCAGAGCGTTGACTTTTACTTTTTTCACATGAGGACTGGGTTCAAGTCGCATTGGAAAAGTTCCCACTCAGTCGTATGCTTGACTTGCACAGTACAACTCGAGTTGTAAGCAGGTTGCGTGCAAACAGTTTTAGGCAAAAGTTTTGTAGTGTAAATCTGCCTTTACTTTAGGGTGAATTAGGTAGGAATGTTTTAGCAAGGGTTTTTATTTTTTCAGAATGATGAGCGCCATCCTAGCGTAGCCAATGTTCAATTACGAATTTCTTGTAAAGTCTAAAGACAAGGTTAAATTAGGACAAAGCGACAATGAGAATTTCAGCTGTATTAACTACTGTACAAGTACACAAGACCTTTGTACATTATGGCACTGGGGACATTTGAAGTAAAAAGTTAGGTCAATAATATTTACATTGAATTTACCGTAATATACACAGCGTCTAGTGTAATGTTTTAATAACTTGAGCCCAAAAAACCTGTGCTCATCAAAACTATTGTATTATTTTTGAATTTTTGCTTCAATGGAAGTTTTTCCTTTGTGCCATTGTGGGAATATTGGAATATTACATATGAAATGAATTCTCGTTGAGAGCAAAAGTCTTTCGCCTTTCGGGGCACAACACTTAGTCTTAGCATAAACAATATTGTCATACAGTCACGATCCAGTGATCGGAATGTTCTATTATCTTTTCATTGTTTTGAAAATCCCACTGTTCTCCATGCCATCCATGCTCATGGGCCATGGCCACCTCTTGACCAAGGGCAAGGTGAAAACGTTTTAACATGCAAATAAAAACCTGTCACACCTAGAATCTAGATACATTGCTTTCATTGTCGCAAAGATACAAAATTTAATGCAGTCACTCGTTCGAACGTCTTAGGTTGTATTTTTAAGCCGACAGATGTCAATAAAGACGGTTTCCTAATAGTATGTGATATTTCGGTCAACCAAGTAGATCCACCATTATAACAGTTGTGCGCGCGCTGATTATGTAAATATCCTTTAAGTTAGTGTCTTCATTTAAATGGATATATGTATAACTTTTATGGCAATTTGTTTTCTTAAGAATCACGTATGTGTTAGGATTTAATTAACAGCGCTAAGGTTATATATTATATGTTTATATTAGTAACTGATTCACTGACCTGTTTATTCAACAACAGGTACTTTTAATCCTTGGGTCCTAGTCATTGCAAAATTTAACTTGCACATGTTAAAAGTAGTATGCATGACAAGAGATACATTTACAATATATACAGAGTTATTGTGATTCAATCATATATACAGCTTTTGTGCGTTGGAAAATATAAACATGGAAGGACGATGTTTGATTTTGGAAATGTAAAGAGATTGTTAATTAACAGGATGAACAATGATATACCAAATCACGCTGAATGAGAAATGGAATAAGATTTTGGGTAATGTTTTAAAGATTTATATATTCCATAAATCCACTTTTTAACTCTGGTATATAATCATGGCAGAATACTCAACGTTAAAGGAATCCTGAAATTCTTCACTGAAGTGACATTATATGGATGAATTTAATACATTGGCATCGAGTGAATTGAATAACTGACCGACTGTACACAACGACAATATTAATCATATAGCAAAGCGATTTTCACTTAAATGAATCCCTCAAAAGTAGAAAGTATTGATAGTACGCCAAATACGGAACAAAGTAGCAATTCGACGAGCACTCCAAAACAGTTTCTCCAACGATTTCTTCAATCGTACCTCTTGATTGGTCCTGGTGAGAACGTGCTCACGAATCTCGCGTGCGTTAACACCGTATGCCTTTTATTCGTGTTCTGGTTTGTGTTAATTACAAGCCTATTGTATACCCCCCTGATCAGGGATAAAATCGAGCTTGAATTAAATGTTTGTGGAGAGAATCCGGGGGGAGGTTGGATCTCGGATTGCGAGTCGGTAGAGAGCATTACCAATAGAATTGGCTTTACATTAGCGGTGACTTTCATAACTTTGGCATTAATTAGCCTGCCCACACACCCCGAGAGAGTGCACCAGGGATTTTGGTTGGCTAAATTTCTACTCATCTTAATTCTGTTACCAATAAGTTTTATGATTCCAGTTGGTCATTTTGACTTCGTGTGGAGCATTATATGTTTTATGGGGAGTTTAGTGTTTCACTTCATCGAGACTGTATTGATTTTCGACTTTGCGACGATTGTGAGTGATGTTTTTGTAATAAAAATTACTCAAGAACGTTCAAGGTTATGGTATCTTGTATGGTTGATTCTAAACTGGATAATATATGCACTAGCAGTTGTGTCTACGTTGATGTTATACGCGTTCTACACAGATGACTGTGGTTTGAGCCCTATTCTGGTAACAGTCGTGTCTATACTGTGTGCTTTGTTCACTCTGCTCGCTGTATACTTCAGTGAAAACCGTACAGGATTTCTGCACTCGGGTTTATGTACTTTATACATCGTACTTCTAACTTTGGTAACACTCAATCATGAAGGATTTTGTGAGGATCAAACTACAAACGTGCAAGGTGGAACCAAATTATCTGACGAAATTCTCAAACATTTCGAAATTCTTCTCGGATTTTTACTGGTAACCTACGCCGCTCTTAGAAATTACAACGAAAAATATTATCATATCGGTGGCTTGACTATCTCGCGGCAACTGATAGCGAGAAGAAAAAATGGATCAGCCGAGGAAGAAAGTTTCAATTCACAAAAAGAAATGGACATTCCTGTATTTAGCCCTTCTGCATTTTCGGCAATGTTTGGTTTCTTTGCATTTTTTGCCACGTCAAAATTGACTTCGTTAAGAACAGCAAAATATAGCGAGCCGACAATTCACGACTCAACGACATTTCATGTGAGATCTTTAACTCTACTCCTACTTCTTATTTTAATCACCTGGAGTCAACTGTTTCCAGCTGTGTACCCAAATGAAAACCCCTTTGATTTGTGGGCTCTTGGAAAAACGTTTTTAAAATCTCAACTGAAACTTTGTCGGCGTATTTTGATAGACGGATGTGGATGGTGTAACGGCCCAGTTGCATCACGGATTATTTTCACTGCACTTTACATCCTGGGAGTTCTATTCTCATGTTTGTTATATATACCGGAAATACGTCACAGTCTGAGTAAAAGCACCTATTTCTGTGCAACGATGAGCACTCGCGGGGTTTGTTTAAGTACCGACCCAGCCTACATGGCCGTGTATCGCGTGTGTTTTGCCATGGCAACTTTTTTTCTTCTATTTGCCGTCATCCTTGTTTGCGTCGACAACACGCGAGACCCACGCGTGGATTACACTCATGACACATGCGTTAATAACGCGCAAGACCCAAGCGTGGATAACACTCATACTTCACGCAAGGACAACACGCAGAATCCACGCGTGGACCTGCAATACAAAGCTTGGCCGGTGAAAATCTGTTTATTCTGTAGCCTGTTATTGGCTAGTTTTCTGCTTCCAAATGAGTTCAGTCGAGTTTGGATCTACACTGCTCTTATTGGAACTTTTTTATTTACCATACTACAACTGATCTTACTAATATACTGGACTAAGACTACCACGACAAATTTTCAAGAGAAGATCGAAAGCTCTAATTCACGAAGCTGGGCAATTTTGCTAATATTTTTAACATTTTTTATGATTTTCCTCTCTCTAGCCGCAGTTGTAATGTTTTACGTCTTTTTCACAAAATTCTCGCGCTGTTTAACGAACACAGTCTTTATAACTTTAAATCTCATCTTAGTCGTAACGACTTCGCTTATCTCCGTACATCCGAAGATTTACGATGCTGGTTTACTTCAATGCTACGTCATCGTTATTTTCTCGCTTTATCTCACGTGGTCTGGTTTATCACATAACCCGGATGAAGAGTGTAACCCGGTTGCGGGCTACATTGCTGAAGTCGACATGCGTCCTAACCTTAATATTCAGGCTGGGCTAGATTTAGTCTTCACTTTTCTTACAGTTGTATACTTCAGTAGCAAGGCACCTTATATAAGCGAAAGCATGCGAACTGCTTACGACACTTTACGAAGTATCTGCGACTCTTCACGAAAACGGGAAACCTCGATCGGGCCTATGTCAGTGAGAGAAATGGAATCCCAAACTACACTGTATTACCCAGCATATAACTTTACGTTGTTTCATGCTGTTTATTTCTTAGCGTCGCTTCACGCAACTATTATTTTGACAAATTGGTTTATTCCCACGAGTGGCTCTCGTTTTAAACTTTCTGTAAACTGGGCAGCCATGTGTGTCAAGATGACTTGTAGTAATTTATCATTAGTTCTATATGTGTGGATCATTGCAGCGCAACTTTTTACTCAATAAATTTTAAAATATTTCAATTTTAAGGACCACGGTTGTTCATTTTTTACTTTAAGTTTAACGTAAATTAGCCTTAATTTTTCGTCCATTATTAGCCACTTTTCATTTTTCAAAAAGGGGCAAAAAAATAAGGCTATAGCCTTTAGCTTTTCGTCCATTTTTAACCACTTTTTTCATTTGTCTTGTGATCTCTCGGGGGGAACTAGTTAGAAAATCCCGCGTAATGAAAACGGCTTTTAGAAAAAGGAGCAAAAAATGGCAAAAACGTAAGGCTATTGCCTTAACCCTTCGTCCATTTATGGCCACTTTTTTCATTCACGAAAAAGGGGCAAAAAAAGTAAGGCTATAGCCTTAAAAGTAAAGGCTATAACCCCTTAACCTTTCGACCATTTTTAGCCCCTTTTCGAGTGAAAAAAGGGAATAATCAATTCGATTCGATGGCTAAAAATGGATGAAAAGATGCCTTTATTAGCCTTTACTTTTTTGTTCCTTTTGGCTAGTTTTAAAATACCGGATACTCGTAGGAAAAATGGGGTTAGCCTCTACTTTATGTCCATTTTTCGCCACTTTAAGTTTTTGAAAAAGTGTTCTACAGTCGACAAAATGTTAAGGGTAAATTAGCCTTTGTTTTCCCAGAAATTTATAAAAATAACAAAAGCATAACACACAAATCATGCGGTAACGGATTATTAATGATTTGTATAAATGCGAATTATTTAGCTTAAAGCCTAGGTCACACTACACAACGATAAAGAGACGATAACTTGTATACGCGCGCTGATTGGTCAAAAATTTATCGTATCGTCCGACTGAAAAACAAATCGCTCAGGTGAGCGATTTAAAAATCGTTATCGTCAAACAATAATTTTATTATTTTCGTTGTAGTGCAGTGGACATTAAACACAATTTGTTTCCCAATTATCGCGTGTTTACAATTTATCGTTATCGTTGTGTACTGTGACCGGATCTCAACAAAAGCATTGTGTTCACCTTCTGGTAAGCGAGCGAAACATCTGTACATAATGGATACTACTCGAGTACCTCCCAAGTGCGTTAAAAAGAGCCACGATTTCATTTCGTTTTAGTCGAAACGACGGACTCACAGTGTCTTCTGCAAATTGGTTGCTTGAGAATAAGATCTTTAGAGCAGTACCAATACCTTGTGTCTGAAACAACAAGAAAATATTTGCTATTGTTATGTGTCTAAATCAGGGGCGTAGCCAGCCCTGAGCGAGGGAGGGGGTACAATCGTGTTTAATGAACTAGGAGGTTTGGTTGTCTTGGGGCATGATTCCCCAGGAATGTTTCTATTTCTATGATCTGCAAAACGTTATTTCATCACCCCCTCTGACAGTTTCCCCACCCCACCTAGAGAATTTTGCACCCTCTCCCCAGAAATTTAAATGCCCATTGGATTAAATGACAGTAGTGTGATTGAAACATTTTGAACTAAATGATACCAAAAATCTCTAAAATTTCCTGTGGGCTTTGCCCCTTTACCCAACCTTGACCTCACACTGTGCCCCTAGACCCCTCCAGACAAACACATGGGAATGACTAAACCTGTGACTAAACTATAAAAAACATGTATAAAGGTATGTCCTATGACTTTGTATTTTAAATCATACCTGGACTTTCCCCCACAATCGACATTTCTGACAGCCAACACAGTCCATTATTCTTGTGATGTTCCGAAATTTCTTCCGAAATTCCTCCTACCAAGAAATTTAAATTATAGATTAATACCATAATGCGGATTAAGTCCGATTAACTTAAATACAGCAATATAATTAATCGACACACACAGTATTCAGATTTGCTTTATATTATAATATTCCTACGCTACCTTGAGACCTCTTGATGTAACCGGGTCGCCAGTAAACATCATTGTCTCATCAAATGTACTGGGACAATTTCTAAAAACAAAAATACAAGTTAGTGGTACAACAAGAAACAAAGAAAAAAAATTTTAGTTTTTCAAACATGTTTTTATCAGTTGAAAATCATTGTTTTTACGAAAGAAAACGTTTTTGACCATCTCCTAAACATACAGAACAGTTTTTATTTATTTAACTTTGCCAACTAGGGCAGGGTCACCACAACAGCATATGCCAATTACTGTGGGCCCTTTTACCTAACCCACCCTGTCAACTTTCCCTGTGGGAGGAAACCGGAGTACCCGGGAAAAACCCACGACTTTCGGAAGAGCGTTGACTTTTACTCTTCACATGAGGACTGGGTTCGCATTGAGAAAGTTCTCACTGAGGCAAGCCTCAGGTTCAAGAACCTGCGGCCTCAGAGGTGAAAGGCAAGTGCGCTAACCACTTGGCCACCGAAGCCCCACAAAAAAAAGAAAAACATATGTGCCTGCACTTTTATCCTCGGGCTACACTCATATTTCCCTGACCAAACACTCAAGCATACCTTGATTGTAATAATAGATCACCAATATGTTTCTTAACGAGGCCATCTTCTGACTTATGTCCAGTAAAAAATCCCTCTTGCTTCCAGTATGGCCCAGCTTTGATCACAGCTCTCCACACAAGAAGATACAGGAAATAAATATTCTTCAACCAACTGGGCCCTAAAGGTGATACAATGATATACATTGTTATGGCATGAAAATATTGTACCAACAATTAGGCATATTTGATACTTGAGCACAGCAACCCTAGGCTTAGCAAAGGGGGGACAACAGGAAATTTTTTAAAATTCAAAAAGTGCCCCCCCTCCCAAAAAAAAACAAGTTCAAACGTTCAGAAAATTGTGGAAAACCTTTCCTCTCATCAAAAGAATTACTTTCGATCGATGAAAACACGTTTTAAAAAATTTTGGTCAAATGCAAAGGGGACCACAGAACTCTAGGCTTAGCAAAGGGGGGACAACAGGAAATTATTTATAAAATCCAAAAAGTGCCCCAACTAGTCCAAACTTATGTTTAACCGATAAAAACATGTTTTAAAAGATTTTGGTCAAATGCAAAGGGACCACATAGTGACAACACCAAATTAGTTGAAAGCAAGTTAGGAAGGTAAATTAAAAGTTAAACATTTTGTATATAAATAATCTAGAGAACAATACAAACAGAACTGGTTGGCTGGCTGGCTGGCTGGCTGGCTGGCTGGCATAGAGAATAACACACCTTGTCCTTTCGTTTTTTCAGGATCAAATCTCTTTTTAAACTCTTCCACATTAGGACGCCATTCGGGTTTCATAAATCCATTACCTTTGGAAAATATTCAAATCGTCGTAAGCACACAGATTTAGGATTTGATTTTTTTACAATTTTTACAGTAGCAAATTAATTAACCCTTTAAGTGGCAATGCACCCTGATGAGCTCCACTTTATTTACTCTGTCTAATGCTAGGGGATTTTACTCATCGTGCTGCCACTCATTGGGTTAGTTAAATTCTGCAAACATTGTACGTACCTTTAAACAAATACTGCGCTGAGAGATGGGTGTTGATGCTTGCATGCATTCCAGAAATTACACGATAAAAAACTCTTTTCTCTAAACACAGTTCTAAGCAAGAGGGAAAAAAACTATTAGAAAGACAACAATTCAATTTGTTATATAGTGTCAAAGTTAAATTTTTCTGTTTGCCTATTGGTCAAAATCATATCATGTTGCCGGTCAACTGTGGTCCACAAAACGTCATGTTCACTGCATGCTTTGGTGAGAAGGCAACCGGTCAACAACGAAACATTCATTGACCGGAAAACAATAGAATGAGTGCAATGCGCATGCGCTTCAACCATGAAGTTCCAAAGTTCATTTTTTAAACTTTTTATGAATTAATTAATTAATTAAACATTTACAGCATTCCATTTATCCAGTTTTGGTTTCAAATCAGTTCACTCCAATAACCAGTGAATTATTCATACTTTGACACTTACATACTATATAACAAAATTAGTCTTGGGCAACAACAGCGGTCTCTCGGGTCCACAAAACACACTGACTGTTTCCCTCTGTCTTAGTAAATAAGTGATAAGTGTTTTCATAATAATTAAATTACTGTAATAAACAGAGCTTACGATTCAACGCGGAGGATGCCTCATATTTTTCGGTGTATGGATTTGGGAGTCTAAAAAATTAGTAAATATGTAAAAATGAGTAAAATAAAGTAGTTTTGATAAGTAATAAGATTGTTTATGGCACATTCTGAATACGTGGCAACTCATACAAATCAGTTAGTATACCCTTAGTAGTACCGGTAGTAATCAAGTGGCAATGCTCACTGATATTTTGCTCTGTCTAATGCCAGACAATTTTACTCATCAAGGGGAGAGCAATCATGCCACTCAATGGATTAATTACTTATATTGGTATATTTAATCTAAATCTTACTTGAAACAATTTTCTTGATAAATGCTGTACCAAACTCTGTTTGCTGAATCTCCTTTGTAGTTTGTAAACCGTTCTGGATTCAGCAATAAATTGACATACTTTAAGTCTGCAGATAACTCATCTAGTATACAAAACAAGAAAGAATCATGTTTAATTAACTAAACTAAACTAATAGATATAGTACTGGTACTGGATAAGTTCTTTGTATGTTTGCATGGTGATAAAATATAATGGTTTTGTTTGTGGAAACACCACGTAAATTTATTACTGCAAAGCTTTCGATCCGTAAGCCCAGATCTTCATCAGTGCTAATAATATGTTATCTAAAATCATATTATTAGCACTGATGAAGATCCGGGCTTACGGATCGAAAGCTTTGCAGTAATAAATTTATGTGGTGTTCCACAAACAAAACCATGGTACTGGATAGTTCTATCAGTTCTAAAGAGTAAACTTCTCTCCCCAGAGGGTCAGCAAGAGTCATCCATTACTACAGTAATGGGCAGTACCTACTCTCATACCCTGCAGTACCCACCCTCTTACCCTGCAGTACTTACTCTTGTACCCTGCAATACCCACCCTCCTACCTGCAGTACCGGTACTCACGCAGATTGTACCCTGCAGTACCCACCTTCAGGTTGACAAAAACTATTCTCTGCATCATCATATTGTTGCCATGTTTCAAATGCTTGTTTATCTTCCTCGCTAAAATAAACAATCATTTTAATCAATAAATGTTTCATCAACACCAACATTTTTAACAAATTTTAACAATTCTCAGGTTTCACTTACCTCAAATGAATATTTACATCTCCAAGTGTAGAATTATCTCCCTTGCATTTCTTTGGTTGTTCCTGCCAAAGTAAAAGCAGAAAATAAATACAACTACATCGGCTGTGAGGGAGATCACTTGATAATACTATGTTACAGGTTAATTAAAATTTACACCATAGTCAGTACAATCATGCTAAACATTCCAACTTTCCCGGTTTCACTGGTTTAGACCACTCTGTCCCGGTAGAAATAAAATTGTCCTGGTTTTCATCTGAAAACTGTGCAAAAATTATCACAAGTTTCCCTTTTCAGACATTCATGGTGAACTCAATTTTTTAGCATGCATTGCTTATTCTTTCACCTTGCAATCTATAGTATTGTTAAGTTTAGACAAAATACAATTAGGAGGATATTATAAGAACACAAGCTTCACTTAAGGTTTGCCTACCATACTGTGCATTCATTTAGGAACGTCCCGTAAGCCCAGCTATTTGGCTTAACATTTTGCATATGAAATGTTTAAATTATTTAGTTCCTCATTTAGTCACATCAGTTAATTCACAAGTGTAACCCTATAAGTAGCAATGCATCCTGACGCACCCTACTTTATTATTTTACTCTGTCTAATGCCAGACAGTTTTAATCATCAACTAAGGGAGAATGAGTTAAGCAGTTCATTTTAATAACTGTTATAATTATAATTTACCTTTACTGTTTGACGTTTACTATTTTCCTTCTGGACTTTTAAAGGTTTATGGTTATAACTCTTTAAAATTGTCAGAAAAATTACATTAATAAAAATTACTTAAATAATTAGCATTATAATTTATTTAACTACAGTGTACAGTAATTTAGATAGCTACTGTAATTGTGGTTACAGTTAATATATCATTTGGAGAACAATTAATTGCTTGACTAATTTAACATTTTTTAACCCGTTGAGCTGCAATGTGCCCAACTGCACCCTTCTTTATCATTTTACTCTGTCTAATACCAGAAGTTTTATTTGTCAAGGGGAGAGCCTTGCAAATTACTGGACTTATGGTACCTTTTTCGGATCATGATAGCCTTTCACTCCTTCTGGGACCTCATCCTAAATGCAAGAAACAACCATTACTGATCTGGACAGTGATCTCTCTAAAGGATAAATAATGCTACAATCAAAACAAAGGTGTAACATCCCCCAGGCACGAGAGCCCTGGGCATTTGCCATTTGTGATTTTTCCTAGGGGTGGGCATTGTCGAGAAAATTTGAAATGGTGGGGCAATTGATTCCACTTATAATGAGGACAGGGATTTGACCACAGCTGAAAAACATTTAGTTTACCTAACATGAACTTCAAGACTATTGTAGATAGACTTGTTTCCCTCTGACATAAGAAACCACCGGCATTAACATGTCAATCAAAAGCACATTTTTTGCTTATTGTGTTTTCAAGAGAACAGCGAAATTTTTATCAAACGATTTTCAAAGTCAAAATGTGAATTATGTTCAAGATTGGTTGGACCAGAATGCACTGGGGAAGTTGAAAGTTGAAGAATTTTAACCTTCAAATTAAATTTACAATGGGACATTTGACTGACCACTTAGTTGTGGAATGTATGGACTTGGGATGGGAGATTTGGTCAGATGCCCGGGGGATGTTACACCTTCGTTTTGATCAGCACATAATTGCAACGGTCAACACCACTTACCTCTTTACACGTCTGCACTGAACAATCTTTTAAACTACATGTGCCATCATCAGGCCAAAATGGACATGATCGTCCCAGGTTGACCTAGTACAGAAACATAATATATATCACAAAATATATTTCTAAATAAACATGGAAACATATTGAAATAGTTTGTGACACAAAAAAATTGACATATTTACCTTGAAAAATTTAAAATAATTTTGTTTTACTATTTCTAAAATTTTTGGATAGACTTCTTTATTTAAATTATGTACAGCTTCAACATCACAACAACAATCTTCAACTTTACCAGAGAGCTGAAAATACAACCAGATGTATATTTTCAAATCACCTGAGCAAGTCTTTCGTGTCACATTGAGCATGATTTTACGTGTCTGTTGAGGGGAAAGTGGTGGCGTTCAATGGGTTAACACAGAACCTGAAATAACGGTTGGACATCCAACCACATCACGGTTTTTCTGATCAAATGCTTAATTGGCTGGGTATTTTGTCTGGACAAAAAATGGCAATCCAATCAACCTTGACTTCAAAGACTGGGTTAACCATAATCATCCCGCAAAGAACATTAAATGTAAAAGATTCAACTATACTGGTTAATGTTTGGCATAAAGTATTATTTATACAGGTATATTAGCTAATAATTTACCCAACAAAGACATGGAATCGAAAAAATGATCGACCAAATTTCTGATAAAATTTCATTTTTTGGTTGGACATTTTCAAGGGTGTGTAGTAGCGAAGTAGTAGTAGTTCGCTACTGTAGCGAACTACAATTTTCAAGTAGCCAGTAGTTTTTGACTACAATAAGAACAATTTCTCTTCTTTTTCTCTCTTGTAAATATATATATATTCCTTTAATATTGTGATTGACTGTAAATAATTTATTACATCACACAATACAAAACTAGCATAACTAGAGACCTAAATAAAAAGTCTACTAAGATTTCTACTAGGTCTCTAGCCCGCACTCTACAATCATTGTAAATATACTACACATAAATTTATTTTATTATATAAACATAAGTGTTATATATAAGCAAGATTTTGGCCACTGAGAAAAATCGTATTTAAACACGCGTAAAAAATACGATATTTTTACGTGTGCAAATATCATTTATTGTAAAAACGCATTGCCACGGATATTTTATTGTTTTTCGCCGAATTTTGTTTATATAATAAACAGAAAAATACATGGGTGCTTGGAAATACCAGATTAATTTCTCGTATTGAACATGATATCTCACCCGTTCGCTGCGCTCACTCGTGAGGTATCATGTTCAACACTCAAAATAAATCTGGTATTTCCAAGCACCCATGTATTATTCTCTATGTACATGGGGAAAATTTTTAAAATAAAAAATAAATAGTGAACTACATTTCACCTAAAAGTAGCCAAATAGTGGACTACTTTTCAAACAGCGAATCGCTATTTGCTACTTTTTAAAATTGTTAGCAACCGTTCATAGAATAGAATGATATTAAGACACGGTTTGCTTAAAAGATTATTTTATACAGTAAAGATTATTTTAGCGCAATGAAAAGTGGCACTCCTGAACACTGTAGGGCTTACAAAAATGTTGCTTTGACCCTTTTTGTTTACTGTTGCTACTTGTAAGTCGATTTGTTATAGGTTATATTACGGCCTGAGCTAGTGGATGCTCCAAATACCGTAAAACTAAAAAATATAGAGTAGCAAAATAGCGAAATAGTTCGCTACATTTTTTAAGCAGTAGCTGTAGTCAGTAGCGAACTACCTTTGTTCAAAAGTAGCAGTAGTTGTAGCTGACTACATATTTTTGAAGTAGCTGTAGTTATAGCGAACCACAAAAATTTTGTAGTCAACCCACCCTTGGACATTTTTCCGGACAAATTTTGAAAATTATTTCAGGCTCTGTTAATTTATATACTTTTACTGTACATAATGTCTTTTTATACACTGTATAAAGTTAAAGCAATTATGTCGGGATTATGTCTGGCTAACATCATTTGAGTTGCCTACTAACAGTTTCAGATGGCAAACATGTGGACATGTGTGGAGATCTGATTGGCTAATACTATGATTATATCTAATTAGAATGAATTATAAACCTGTCAGGCCAACATAGATAAATAAAGCTTATCAGATAACCAAAGCTTACATTAACCAACCAAATAGGCTTCTTGGTTGAAAATTTTACAGGTTTTTGTTTTAGAAAATATTTCAATGCTCTATTGTGAACTTACATACATCATCATACAGTATCTTTTAGATATTTTTATCCAGAGTTAAATATTATTAAGAATGCCATTAATATCCGGAAAAATACAGTTATGAAAATATACGAATAAAATTATAAAATAATTTTTATTAACACGCTAAAGAAAGAGGCCACTTAAAACATCGGTTGCTAAGGATACGAGCAAAAATGTCATGACATTTTACATATTATGTGATAAGTAACACGTCTGATAAAACAGCTGTTTATTAATTTAAAACGGGAACAATCACACGGAACATATTAAATTTCACGCTAAATATTTAGCAATTTCTCTCCATAAACCATAACGTTTGAACTAAAACAACACGTTGACCAATTATACGAACATATTTGTTTATATCACAACATGCTTTTGCGGTTAAAAAACAGGTCAAAGTTTATATTCGCATGGTCATACCTGGCAAAAACACTGATCGTCGCTTGGCCCGTAGTTGCTCGTCGTATGTAAGGGGAAAACAGAAACAATTAAAACCGTAGAGTACAGGAATCTTGCCATGTTCAAAAATATTGTCTAAATCAATGAATGAAGCTTTGTCAAGTCACCCATCGCGTGTAAAATACTTGAATCTCAGACTGTCAAACCGACAGTACGAACCCCATGTTTCTTTTCCAAAATGTAAACATGAAATCAACCAGCGGGTGACTTCGCGGGCTCAATATCGTGGCGCTTTCACATTGGCGCAAAATTTGGCGCGTTTTTTAGTGAAACACGCGAGAGGCAACGCATGCTTTAGTGCGCGGTAAATGTAAAGTCCTTCGCTTGCTACTTGCCTGTACCCTGGATTCCAGAGCCTTCGACAGTAAATAATAAATTGAAACGTCGCAAAGGGTCTGGTTCAACAGGGAGATTCTTTGATTAAACCGCGGTGACCGCGCCAATCACACAAAACAGAATTAGTGTTTTTGGACAGAATACTAAACGGCTAGCTCAGTAGGCAGAGCCATAGGCGTACCGGGCGGGGGGGGCGGTAGCCCCCCCCCCAGTTTTTTGGGCAGTCGGGCAATATTCGATCAACAGTCGGGCAATTTTGGTTCCCCATAAAAAAAAAGGGACAAATTCTGTCAATTTTGTCTAAAATTAAGTAAATTTTTTGGCAAATTTTGTCATTTTTCGAAAATTTGTGTTATGCTCCGAAAAAATTTGTTGTCCGGAAAATTTTTTTGACCCCTAAAATGGTACACTGACCGAAATTTTTTTGGCGACTAGTCGGGCAGAATCCCAAAAAGTCGGGCAATTTTCTTTCCGCCACCCTAATTTTTTCCTTCCGGTACGCCCATGGGCAGAGCATTGGGCTAGTATTCCAAAGGTCGTTGGTTCGATTCCCACCATGGCCTGGCACATTTTTCAAGCTTGCCAGGTGTGGTTTCAACACTCAGAGAAACATCACAAGCATCATAGTTGGATATAGTTCTAAAGTGTAAGTTTCACGCCAGGATATCAGCTATTTCGCCATTTTGTAGGTACCCCCCGTCTACTTTCAGGTCTGCTTTCATTTTAACCAATCAGATCACGATCGAACCTTGTCCTCACCTTCAGGAACCTTGTCCTTATCGTCAGGAACCTTGTCCTCACCGTCAGGAACGTTGTCCTCACCGTCAGCAACCTTGTCGTCAGCGCAAGGAACCTTCTCAGCGTCAGGAACCTTGTCCTCACCATCAGGAACTTTGTCCTCACCATCAAGAACATTGTCCTCCCCATCAGGAACCTTGTCCTCACCGTCAGGAACCTTGTCCTCACCTTCAGGAACCTTGTCCTCACCACCAGGAACCTTGTCCTCACCATCAGGAACCTTGTCCTCGTCATCAGGAACCTTGTCCTCGTCGTCAGGAACCTTGTCCTCACCATCAGGAATCTTGTCCTCACCATCACGAACCTTGTCCTCACCGTCCGGAACCTTGTCCTCACCGTCAGGAACCTTGCCCTCACCAACAGGAACCTTGTCCTCCCCATCAGGAACCTTGTCCTCACCGTCAGGAACCTTGTCCTCACCATCAGGAACCTTGTCCTCACCATCACGAACCTTGTCCTCAACATCAACAACATTGTCCTACTCATCAGGAACCTTGTCCTCACCATCAGGAACCTTGTCCTCACCATCAGGAACCTTGTCCTCACCATCAGGAACCTTCTCCTCACCATCAGGAACCTTGTGCTGACCGTCAGGAACCTTGTCCTCTCCGTCAGGAACCTTTTCCTCACCATCAACAACCTTTTCCTACTCATCGGGAACCTTGTCCTTACCCTCAGGAACCTTGTCCTCACCATCAGGAACCTTGTGCTCACCATCAGGAACCTTGTCCTCACCGTCAGGAACCTTGTCGTCACCGTCAGGAACCTTGTTCTCACCGTCAGGAACCTTGTCCTCACCATCAGGAACCTTGTCCTCCCCATCAGGAACCTTCTCCTCACCATCAGGAACCTTGTGCTGACCGTCAGGAACCTTGTCCTCTCCGTCTGGAACCTTGTTCTCACCCTCAAGAACCTTGTCCTCACCATCAGGAACCTTGTCCTCACCATCAGGAACCTTGTCCTCACCGTCAGGAACCTTGTCCTGACCGTCAGGAACCTTGTTCTCACCGTCAGGATCCTTGTTTTCACCATCAGGAACCTTGTCCTCACCATCAGAAACCTTGTCCTCACCATCAAGAACCTTGTCCTACTCATCGGGAACCTTGTCCTCGCCATCAGGAACCTTGTCCTCACCATCAGGAACCTTGTCCTCACCATCACGAACCTTGTCCTCACCATCAACAACCTTGTCCTACTCATCAGGAACCTTGTCCTCACCATCAGGAACCTTGTCCTCCCCATCAGGAACCTTGTCCTCACAGTCAGGAACCTTGTCCTCACCATCAGGAACCTTGTCCTCACCATCAGGAACCTTGTCCTCACCATCACGAACCTTTTCCTCACCATCAACAACCTTGTCCTACTCATCGGGAACCTTGTCCTCACCATCACGAACCTTGTCCTCACCATCAACAACCTTGTCCTACTCATCAGGAACCTTGTCCTCACCATCAGGAACCTTGTCCTCCCCATCAGGAACCTTGTCCTCACAGTCAGGAACCTTGTCCTCACCATCAGGAACCTTGTCCTCACCATCAAGAACCTTGTCCTACTCATCGGGAACCTTGTCCTCGCCATCAGGAACCTTGTCCTCACCATCAGGAACCTTGTCCTCACCATCACGAACCTTGTCCTCACCATCAACAACCTTGTCCTACTCATCAGGAACCTTGTCCTCACCATCAGGAACCTTGTCCTCCCCATCAGGAACCTTGTCCTCACAGTCAGGAACCTTGTCCTCACCATCAGGAACCTTGTCCTCACCATCAGGAACCTTGTCCTCACCATCA